GACGCCAATTCCGCTGCGACCCAATTTTCCGATTCGGTGCCTGAGGGATTCTGCTTGCCGAGGGCGTCAGCTACTTACTGATGACAGACCTGCACCGATACAGGCCAGGCCTATCCTATGCCCGGCATTGGTGTGCGTGTGTGCCCGTGTGTGCCCGTGTGTGCCCGTGTGTGCGTTTGTGCCCGTGTGCGCGTGTGCGCGTGTGCGCGCGTGCGCGCGTGCGCGCGTGTGCGCCTGCGCCTGCGCCTGCGCCGGCGCCTGCGCCTGCGCCTGCGCCTGCGCCTGCGCCTGCGCCTGCGCCTGCGCCTGCGCCTGCGCCTGCGCCTGCGCCTGCGCCTTCGCCTGCGCCTGCGCCTGCGCCTGCGCCTGCGCTTGCGCCTGCGCCTGTGCAAGTGCAAGTGCAAGTGCGAGTGCAAGTGCAAGAGCAAGTGCAAGTGCAAGTGCAAGTGCAAGTGCAAGTGCAAGTGCGTGCTTGTGTGTGTGTGTGCGTGCGTGCGTGTGTGTGTGCATGTGTGTGTGGTGTGTGTGCGTCGTGTGTGTTTGTGTTGTGTGTGTTGTGTGCGTGTTGTGTGTAGTGTGTGTGTGTGGTGTGTGGTGTGTGTTGTGTGTGTTGTGTGTTGTGTGTTGTGTGTTATGTGTTATGTGTGCGTTGTCTGTGCGTTGTGTGTGCGTTGTGTGTGCGTTCTGTGTGTTGTGTGTGTTCTGTGTGTGATCTGTGTGTTATGTGTGCTGTGTGTCTGCTGTGTGGTGTATGTGTGTTGTGTGTGTTGTGCGTTTGTGTTATGTGTCGTGTGTGTTGTGTGTTGTGTGTATGTGTTGTGTGTTGTGTGTTGTGTGTTGTGTGTTGTGTGTGTGCGTGTGTGTGTTGTGTGTTGTGTGTGTTGCGTGTGCTGTGTGTTGTGTGTGTTGTGTGTTGTGTGTTGTGTGTGCTGTCTGTGCTGTGTGTGCTGTGTGTGTTGTGGTTGTTGTGTGTTTTGTGTGTGGTGTGTGTGTGTTGTGTGTGTGTTGTGTGTGTTGTGTGTTGTGTGTGTTGTGTGTGTGGTGTGAGTGTGGTGTGTGTGGTGTGTGTGTGTGTCTGTGTGTCGTGTGTGCGTGCGTGTTGGTGTGTGTGTGTCTGTGTGTGTCTGTGTGTGTGTCTGTGTGTGTCTGTGTGTCTCTGTGTGCGTCTGTGTGTGAGTGTCTGTGTGTGTGTCTGTGTGTGGTTGTGTGTGTGCGTGAGAGCGTGTGTGTGTGAGTTGTGTGTGTTGTGTGTTGTGTGGTGTGTGTGTGTGTTGTGTGTTGTGTGTTGTGCGTGTGTGGTGTGTTGTGTTTTGTGTGGTGTGTGTTGTGTGTTGTGTGTTGTGTGCTGTGTGCTGTGTGTTGTGTTTTGTGTGGTGTGTGTGTGTGCGTGTGTGCGTGTGTGCGTGTGTGCGTGTGTGCGTGTGTGCGTGTGTGCGTGTGTGCGTGTGTGCGTGTGTGTGTGTTGTGTGTGTGTTGTGTGTGCGTGTGTGCTCGCGTGCGCGTGTGAACGTGTGCGCGTGTGCGCGTGTGCGCGTGTGCGCGTGTGTGTGTGCGTGTGTTGTGCGTGTACGTGTTCGTGTAAGTGTGGGTGTGCGTGTGGGTTCGGGTGTGTTGCGTGTGCGTGTGTGTGTGTGTTGTGTGTTGTGAGTTGTGTGTGTTGTGTGCTGTGCGTTGTGTGTGTTGTGTGTGTTGTGCGTTGTGTGTGTTGTGTGGTTGGTGTGTGTGGTGTGTGTGTGTGTTTTGTGTTGTGTGTGGTGTGTGGTGTGTGGTGTGTGTGTGTTGTGCGTTGTGTGTGTTGTGTGTGTTGTGTGTCTGGTGTGTGTATGTTGTGTGATGTGTGTGTGGTGTGTTGTGTGTGTTGTGTGTGTTGTGTGTTGTGTGTTGTGTATGTTGTGTGCGTGATGTGTGTGCTGTGTGTTGTGTGTGTTGTGTATGTTGTGTGTTGTGTGTGTTGTGTGTTGTGCGTTTTGTGTGTTGTGTGCGTGTGTGTGTGTTGTCTGTGTTGTCTGTGTTGTGTGTGGTGTGTGTTGTGTGTATTGTGTGTTGTGTGTGTTGTGTGTTGTGTGTTGTGTGTTGTGCGTTGTCTGTGTGTTGTGTGTGTTGTGTGTTGTGTGTTGTGTGTACTGCGTGGATTGTGTGTTGTGTGTTGTGTGTGTTGTTTGTGTGTTCTGTTTGCGTGTGTGTTGTGTGTGGTGCGTGTGTGTTGTGTGTTGTGTGTGTTGTGTGTTGTGTGTATTGTGTGTGTTGTGTGTGCGCGTGTTGTGTGTTATATGTGTGTTGTGTGTGTTGTGTGTTGTGTGTGTTGTGTGTTGTGTGTTGTGCTTATTGTCTGTGCTGTGTGTGTTGCGTGTTGCGTATGTGGTGTGTGTGTTGTGTGTTGTGTGTGTTGCGTGTGTTGCGTGTGTTGTGTGTTGTCTGTGTTGTCTGTGGTGTGTGTGCAGTGTGTGTTGTGTGTGTGTTGTGTGTTGCGTGTGTTGTGTGTGTTGTGTGTTGTGTGTGCTGTGTGTGTTGTGTGTTGTGTTGTATTGTGTGTTGCGTGTGGTGTGTGTGTGTTGTGTGTTGTGTGTTGTGTGTGGTGTGTGCCGTGTGTGTTGTGTGTGTTGTGTGTGCGTGTGTTGTGTGTTGTGTGTGTTGTGTGTGTTGTGTGTGTTGTGTGTTGTGTGTTGTGTGTGATGTGTGTTTTGTGTGCGTGTTGTGTGCGTGTTGTGTGTGTGTTGTGTGTGTGTTGTGTTTGTGTTGTGTGTGTTGTGTGTGCTGTGTGTATGTCGTGTGTTGTGTGTTTGTTTGTGTGCGCGTGTGTGAGTGTGTGTTTGAGTGTGTGTGTGTGTGCGGGCGTGCGTTCGTGCGTGCGTGTGCGTGTGTGTTGTGTGCTGTGTGCGTTGTGTGTTGTGTGTTGTGCATGTTGTGTGTTGTGTGTTGTGTGTGTGTTGTGTATGTTGTGTGTTGTGTGTGTGGTGTGTGTTGTGTGTTGTGTGTGTTGTGTGTGTTGCGTGTGTTGTGTGTGCCGTGTGTTGTGTGTGGTGTGTGTTGTGTGTGCCGTGTGTTGTGTGTTGTGTGTGTTGTGTGTTGTGTGTTGTGTGTGTTGTGCGTTGTGTGTTGTGTGTGTTGTGTGTTTTGTGTGTTGTGTGTTGTGTGTTGTGTGTTGTGTATTGTGTGTTGTGTGTGTTCTGTGTATTGTGTGTTGTGTGTTGTGTGTTGTGTGTATGGTGTGTGTCGTGTGTTGTGTGTATGTTGTGTGTTGTGTGTGTTGTGTGTGTTGTGTGTTGTGCGTGTGTGTATGTGTGAATTGTGTGTTGTCAGTGTGCTGTGTGTGTTGTGTGTTGTGTGTGTTGTGTGTTGTGTGTGGTGTTGTGTTGTGTGTTGTGTGTACTCTGCGTATTGTGTGTTGTGTGTGGTGTGTGTGTGTTGTGTGTTGTGTGTTGTGTGTGTTGTGTGTTGTGTGTGTGTGTTGTGTTTGTGTGTGCGCGTGTGTGTGTGTGTTTGAGTGTGTGTGAGTGCGTGCGTGCGTGCGTGCGTGCGTGCGTGCGTGCGTGTGTGTGTGTGTGGTGTGTGTTGGTGGGGGACCTTCCGTTTTCAAAAAAGGATAACCATAACAATTCGGAGTTGCGCGCGGATTCCTTGGGTCGGCGCCGGGGCCCGCGGCGCCACCAGCGCCGTCCCCGGCGCGCTCCGCGCGCCAGTGCGGGGCTTCCAGCGCCAATCCGAATCCGAACGGACCTTTTATTTCATTGTGATCTTTTTTTCTCATTCTTTTGCCGATCGGCGCGGGCCCTCGCAGCCCCCCCCATGGGGTAGATCTTGGCTGTTTTTGGCGCCTGTTTCGAGCAGGTGGAGTCTCCCCCATAGGACGCACGGTCCCAAACAGTCGCACTAAGCAGAGGTCCTGAGCCAGACCCCCCCGCTCCCCCCCCTTCCGCCCAATGTCGAAACGCCGAGAATAGAAAACGCTGACATGTGTTTTCCAATTCCTGGGGAGTGCAGGAGGGCGTGTACGGCATGTTCTTGCCGTGTCGACGCGGCAGCGACCCCAGAGCGGGCCTTCAAGGTTGAGCGTCGCCAGCGGCCACGAATTTGCCGACATCGAAGGATCGGCGCTTTCGGAAAGCAGCGATCGCTTCAGGTTGAACGATGCCATGCACTCGAGAAGCCAACGCGCTCGCCGCGACACGAACCTGCCCTTGACCGATCCTGCGCTCAGGATGGGCCTGGCCAGGATCGGTTTACATCGCCGGCGCGCCCGGGGAGGAAGGCAGAGTGCCGTGCACTCGAGAAACCAACGCGCTCGCCGCGACACGAACCTGCCCTTCACCGATCCTGCGCTCAGGATGGGCCTGGCCAGGATCGGTTTACATCGCCGGCGCGCCCGGGGAGGAAAGGCAGAGGGGGGCCGGCCCTCTCAGAGGCGACGGGACGCCTCGGAAGCCCACTCGCCTTCCGAAACGAGGAGCCCGTAGGGTTAGGGCGGGCCTGTCCCTCTACAGGAGGAAGATCCAAACATAGCTGAAAAATAGTACGGGGACGATGTTTCTATTATTTTTGATCATGCTTGAGCATTTTTTGAGTATTCTTTATTTTTTGGCCCATGACCCCCCTGTGGGGGACATGCCCGACTTCGAAAGCCTTGGTTCGCCAGGGGCTGGTCCTCCTCATCTTCTATCCTCCGCGGCCCTCCTCGGCCCTCGAACCTCCTCGATCTCCCTTCCTCCTGATCGATACTCCGCCTCGATCCGGCCCTCCTCGAGCCTTCTCGAGCTTCCTCGACCCTTCTCGATCTTCCTCCTCCTCCTCCTCCTCCTCCTCCTCCTCCTCCTCCTCCTACTACTACTACTACTACTACTACTACTACTACTACTACTACTACTCCTACTCCTACTCCTACTCCTACTCCTACTCCTACTCCTACTCCTCCTCGAGCCTCCTCCTCCTCCTCCTCCTCCTCCTCGAGCCGCCTCCTCCTCCTCGATCCTCGACGCGCGGCGCCCCGCCACCCGCGGGCCGAGGCGCCCGCAGGCCCAGGGCGGCGAGCGAGACGGGGCGCGGCGCGAGCTCGACGAAGCCAGGCGGCCGCCGCCGCCTCGACGGGGGGCCAGCGGTGGGGACTGGGGCGCCCTCGAGGAGGAGAGGGAGGAGGAGGAGGAGGAGGAGGAGGAGGAGGAGGAGGAGGAGGAGGAGGAGGAGGAGCGGAGAAGGGAGGAGGAGGAGGAGGAGGGGGAGGAGGAGGAGGAGGAGGAGGAGGAGGAGGAGGAGGAGGAGGAGGAGGAGGAGGAGGAGGAGGAGGAGGAGGAGAAAAAGGCAAGAAGGAAGGAAGGAAGGAAGGAAGGTAATCAGGAAGGAGGGAGGGAGGGAAGGAGGCAGAGAGTGAGGGAGGGAGGGAGGAAGGGAGGGAGGGAGGGAGGGAGGGAAGGAAGAAGGTTGGTTGGTTGGTTGGTTGGTTGGTGTCCTCCCAGCGAGGCGGGAGTGTGGGGGAGTGGGCACGGCCCCTGTAGCAGAGGGCAACAGGGCCAGAGGACGGCGACTGCCGCGACCCCGCAGCGTCCGCTCAGGGGAAGGGACAAACGACACCGCCTGCGGGACTAGAGGAAGAGGAGGGGAAGGACAGGGGGCGGACCAAGGAACGCCCGACTGAGCCTGGCCCCGCGCTTCTCCTAGGTCCGCGGAAGAGGAGCTGCTCCTTGGCCTTGGAAGCGAACGCGATGGAGAAGCGGGGGAGGCCCGGGGAGGTGGGCCTTACGGCGACTCCATCCCACGGGGACCCCCGCCCGTACTCCCAGCCGCCTCGTGTCAGCGCAGGACGCAGCTGCGAGACTGAGAGAACGGAGGGAAAGGGGGTCACCGCAGGAGAAAAAGAGATTTGCATTATTCGGCTCCAAGTGGCCTTTCCCTGAATGACGCCTCCTCCTTCTCTAAGCAACTTGCCAGCGCGACCGACTCTGCGTAGCCAGCCTTCCCCGGTCGCGAGCTCAGTATCGCTCTTGTGGTGGCCTCCCGCCCAGGCGGAGCGTCCGTTCGGCGAGCGCGCCAATGCGCCTGCCGAGTAGTCTCCGTCCGATCGCATGTTGCAAGAACGTGGAAAGTGGGGCTGTGCGTGGGGACCCCGCAGCAGACGCAGCGCTGGCGACGAGCCCAAGAACGCGCCCCACCGATGTGTGCGAGGCGGACAAGGCGAAGGCGCAATCGGGCGAATGGTCGCTGGCCCCGGAGCTCAGCCCAGCTCAGGCCTGACGACAGAGCTCGGCGTAGATCCTGCCGGACCCCCCACCCAGGGGCAAGTAACGTAGCGGTTACGCGCGTTTGGCGAGCTCCTGGTTGAGGAGCCTGCGGCATCGTTCCTCCACTAGCTCCCTGACTCCGGCTTTGTACGCTTCCGGGCTGGACCCAGGGAAAGCGCCTTCCCAGGCTGGCCAATCCAGCAGGTCCCAGGACTCGAGCAGCTGCAAGGAAGCGCGCGACCAGGTCCTACCAGGCACCAGGTGGGCACGGATGAAAACACATTGTATAATTCCGAGTCCGGAAGCCTCTGTATAAATCCGAGTCCGTCCGGGAGGAGGAGGAGGAGGAGGAGGAGGAGGAGGAGAAGAAGAAGGAGGAGGAGAGGGAGCAGGAGGAGCAGTTGGAGTTGGAGGAGGAGTTGGAGGAGGAGGAGGACGAAAAGGAGGAGGGAGAAGGCGCAGGAGGAGGAGGCGGCGCAGGAGGAGGAGTTGGAGTTGGAGGAGGAGTTGGAGGAGGAGGAGGAGGAGGAGGAGGAAAGAAGAGGGAGGAGGCGTAGGAGGAGGAGGCGGCGGAGGAGGAGGAGGTGAGGAAGAGGAGGAGGTGCGGGAGGAGGAGGAGGAGGAGGATACAGGAGAACGGAAGAAGGTTGCAGACGAGGACAAAGAAGATGATAAGTCGGCGGAGCAACAGGGGAGCCGTCGAGGGCGCCGATTTATTCGCGCTTCAGGCCTCACGGTTCGGCCCCGATTCTTCCTCGTCCTCCTTTTTCTCTCCTGGGGGGGCGGAGCGAGAGCGCGAAGTTATTCGCGAAGCGCGAAGAGCGAAGTTAGGCTCCGTGCTCGCCCTCTGCTGGGCCTTTGGGGAGGTTCCGCGCCGCCACGGGCTGGATCCGCTTCGAAGAAGGAGCTAGGACCCAGGCACGGTCGCGTCATAGCAAAAATCACGGCGAGAGGCTCTTGGCCATTCTCGGCCTCGGAGGGGCCTCGCCGGGGACCAAGACATGGTCGCGTCGTAACAAAATCACGACGGGAGGTTTTTCGGCATTCTCGGCCCCTGGAGGTTCTTTGGCATTTTCGGCCCCTGGGGGCCCTCGCTGGGCCCTGGGGCCATCAAAAAACGATTCCGGATGAAAAACCGGTCCCGGGCAAAGGGTCGGGAGTTCCGGGGACCGCGCACTGAACAAAATCGGGACGTCGCATGTCTGGTAACGGGTCAGGATGTACCCAGGGCCGAATTTCGAGAGCAGTCGGGTCAGTTGGGAGAGCCGCCGCTATCAGGGGCAACGCAAGGGGGGAGGTCTCCGGGGCGTTTCTGTTGGTTTCTGGTGGCTTCCCAGCCTCGGGATGCCCTCCAGCACGTGGGCTTCGCCGAGGGCGTTCCAGGGGCGCCAGGATCGTCACGAACCGCCGCCAGAGGCTCGAGTTATGGGCCCCAACCCCAAACCACCAGAGGCAGCGTTGGAGAAAGATCGGCTCAGGGGGGGAACGCATCGCCGACTGATAGCCGTTATTGGGGCCTGATGCCCGCCCAGGCACATGCAAATTTGCGTTCTGGGGCCCATCGAGAACCTGCCCATGAGAGTTGACGGGGCAAGGGACGAAGAGACACAGTAGTGAAACAAAGCGGGCTAACAGGGTGAACAGAGAAATCTCTTGGAGCAAGGGGGTGGCCTTGAAGGGCCTCTTCGGGCCATCCCTGGGGCCCGTGTTGGCGGTGAGGGAAGGAGGCAGAGGAGGAGGTGGAGGAGAAGGAGGAGGAGGAGGAGGACGACGACCACGACGACGAGGATGCAGAGGAAATGAAAAAGGAAGACGGTGAGGGCTAGGACGAGGACGAGGAGGACGAGGACAGAGCCCTCAACATCACCTCCTAGAGCCCTCTTGGAACTCTTTGAGAGACCTTGTGCTCTTCTTGGGGCTCGTTTGGGAGGTCTTGGAGCCCTCTTGGAACCCTTTTGGGGATCTCGTGGGAGCCTCTGAGGGGCCTCCTAGGACCATCTAAGAGGCTACCAATCACAAGGGGGGGTCCTGGATTTCTGCCCCCCCAGTGGGGCCATCAATATCGCCTCTCGGGGCTCTCTCAGGGCTCTCTTGGGGCCGTCTGGGGGGCCTCTTGGGCTCTTGGGCCATCTTGAGGCCTCCAAAGCGCATCGCAAGCGAAACGGCGAGAAGGCAAGCATTTGTGATGGTCTTCCGGCTTTTGAATGAGTTCGGCCTCTTGGAGGTCTTGAGGGGGCTCCTGCGCGGAGCGCATCCCGTGCGATAGCGTATCCGGCTGATCGCGCCCCAGAACACAGCACGCGAGGGCATGGATTCGGCGGCGAGCGACGGGGGAAGTGAGAAGGGGCGGGCCTTCTCAGAAGGCTCGTAAGGCCCCGGACCTTCTGAGAAGTTTTCTAAGCCTTCCCCGAAGACAGAGAAAACTTCTCAGAAGGCCCGACGGCTTTGAGAAGCCCCGCCCGCTTCTGAGAAGGTCCTTGGGATCGCGCCCCAGAATCTAGCACGCGAGGGCACTGACACCCGTCGATCGTTGAAAGTGGGTACTTTGGGATACCCAAGTCCCAACCTACTGTCGGCGCCTCCCTACTTTCAAAATCGAGTGGTGCTGAATCTGCCTGTCCTCTTCAGGGGGCGGGCAGGAGCCCCTATCTGCTTTCAGCGCCCTCCTACTTCGTGTTTTTGTTCCGCTCCTTCCGACCGACGGACACGCAGATGTTCGTCGCTCGTGAGGGGGGGGGATCGAGGATCGCGGGAGCTGGCTCCCACAACTGCCGGGAGAAGCTCCTGCGATTGGCTCCGAGCCTTCCACTCCGGGTATTGGACACCTTCCGCTGGGTCGCCTTCGCCGACATTCGTGCGCAAGCCGCCCGCGGAAGGTCGCGCGTAGGCGCCCTCGCTTCAGGTGTGGCGTGCCGCGTTGGTGGCCCGCGTAAGCCGCGGCGCAAGGTCGCTGTACCATCTCGCGTAAGACCCTTTTTTGATCGTCTCCGGGAGAGGCTCAGAAAATTTCTCAGAAGGCCAGGGGACTTCTGGGCCCTCTGAGAAGGCCCGCCCCTTCTCACGTCCCCCCCTCGCTCGCCGCCGAGGGGTTCATTTGGCCGCAGGCATCCTTCGAATTCTCAGCCCTGCCCTCTTCCATCGACTACGAGCGTGCAAGTGCTTTTCGACTTGCGTGATCTCCGCACCTCAAGCTGTGTTCGGCTTGCTTCAGGCTCAGGCCCTTCCCCCCGTCCATGCAAGTAAACTTGCCCGAAACCTTAAAAACGGGCTCTTGCTGGTTCCGTCGCCGTTTTTTTGTTGCCGGTGACGTCGCCGTGTTTGTTCCCGCTTCCCGCTCCGGCTCAAGTCCCGGAGCCGTTGCTGTTGCTGTTTCTGGTCGCCGCCGGTGGCCCGGAGTCGGCCGACATCGAGGGAGTCTGCGCGATCGGAGAGCCGCGAGCGCTCCGGGCGGAACGAACCACGCAGTGCCCAGCACTCGGGGCTGGACAGAACCCCCAACGGTGACACGTCGATTAGTGAATTGTCCGTTTTCGGTTCTCGAGAGGGCGCCGTGGCCGTTATTTTCCAGGTTTGCGCCCTCCAGGTTTAGGCCTCAGGTCGTTTTCACTAAACCACGTTTTACTAAAGGGGGGTCTGTCCATCCCCGAAGCACCAGCGCTCGAGCTCTCACGACACGAAGCCGCCGTGGCCGCGTGGGGGATCGGTGCATCGATCCCCGAACGATCGAAGGCGCCCACGCCGAGTCTCGGGTTGACCCCAAAGGGGGTCCACCGACAAGGGGGTGGTGCAATAGAGTTGGTGCAGCAGATTTGTGGGGCTGCAATACATTTGGGGCGTGCAACACATTTCGCGGCGCAAATGTATTGCTGGATTTTCGCGTGCAATACATTCGTCGCAATACAATGCAATACAATTCTCCGGCGCAATCAAGTTGCAACACAACTGCCCCAAATCTATTGCACCACCCCCTTTCAGCTGGACTCCCTGTTGGGTCGACCGAAGAGTCACCGCCGAGCCGTGACTTTTCGACATGCCTGTGTCTTGGCATCGCTCGGACGTGTGCACTTTGTTTCAGCAAGGACCACTGAGGAGCATGTCTGCTCACCCTTCGAAAAGATATACGCGCGAAACCGAGAAATGCACAGGGGATGGAAGTCCCAGCGATGGCAAGGTGTCGTGAAGTGTCAAGCGAAAGTGCGGCCACAGTAGAGAGGACTGCGTGTCGCCCCGGCCGTCGGTGAAGCCACGGTGGGAGCGCCGGGGGAGGGCCTCCTGAGGCCGTCCTGGGGCTCTTTTCGCTTTTTGGGGGGGCCTCCGTGGGGGCCTCCCCTCCTGGGAAACACTCGGGCCATCTCACAGAGCCCTCCTGGGCTGTCTTTGGGGGCCCTCCGAGGCCGTCGTGGGGTCCCCGCACCCTGGTTGCCCCGCAAAGGGGCCAGTGGATCTTTGCTCCGGCGGCGAGCGAGGGGCGGGGAAATGAGAAGGAGAGGGCCTTCTCAGAATCAGGCGATCGCCAACATAGATCAAGGGGGCGTGGATCAGCGACGGGCCCGCTCTCCATGGGAAGTCTCGGATCTCCGCCGCCGAACGAGACGCGGCACCGGCCGCTCTTTTGCGGAGGGCACCCCCCCGATCCATGGATTTGGCGACCGCGCTAAATCCATGGATCGCCATTCTATCTTCGCGCGCCCACGACAGAACGCGGCGGGACTTCTCAGAAGCCCTCGCGCCTTCCGAGCAGTTTGCTGGGAGAGATCTGCGACCAATTGCGACACCCTACCACTGCGGGTCGTCCAACCGACGCTGGGGATATCGGGCACCCCCGCCGGGGTTTCCTTTCGGCGGCGAGCGAGGGGGGAAGGAGAAGGAGAGGGCCTCCTCAGAAGGCGGGGCTTCTAAGGAGCCCTCGCGCCTCCTGAGGAGTTTTTGCTCGCATCGCCGGGAGGGGCTCAGAAAACTTCTGAGAAAGCCAAGGGACTTCCGGGCCCTCTGAGAAGGCCCGCCCCTTCTCACGTCCCCCCCTCGCTCGCCGCCGAGGAGTTCACTTGGCCGCAGACATCCTTCGAATTCTCAACCCCTGAGCAGTTTACTGCGTCTACGGGAGAGGCCCAGAAAACTTGTCAGAAGGCCTGGAGACTTGATAAGGCCCGCCCCCTGATAAGCCCTTGATAAGGCCTGAAAACTTCTTCCGAGCCCCTGATAAGCCTCCTTTTCAGAAGGCCTGAAAACTTCTTCCGAGCCCCTGATAAGGCCCGCCCCCTCGCTCGCCGCCGACCCGTGGGGATGCGGAGCCGCCAGAGCGCCGTCGGCGCCCCGGGAGGCGGAGAGCCGGGGACGAGCGTGAAGTCAGGCATGCCCGTAGGAAAATCCAAAATTATCCCAGTGCGACCCTACCTAGGAGTTGGGGCCTCCAGGAAAGCAGCATGAGTAGGAGCGGTAAGCGCCGTCCTCCTCCTTCTCCTCACTGGGTTGCTTTTGCTTGGCACCCGGGGAGCGCAACTGGGGGAACCGCGCGTTTGCTTTTACCTTTGCTGTTGCTTTTGCTTGGCTCCCAGGGGACTGGGGGAACCGCCCGGGGCGGTTTGCACTGCCCTGCCCCTTTAAGCCAAGCGAGTCAGAACCCTTCTAGGCAGAGCCTAGGTAGGGAAATAGCTTACAACGATCGTCTGGGGACGACCTTTCAACTGTGTGTTTGATTTGTTTGGCTGTTTTTTTGTTGAAAAAATCTGCCAACATCCGCCTGCAGGAGGACATGCCCGACTTGAGACTAACATGCTCTGAAGGCACCTGCCCGAGGAGGCCTCGAGGGCAGCCGGGGCAGGTCCTGGCAGAGCCCCAGCCAGGGGCAGCGCTCGGGGGAGGATGGGCTCCGGGGGGGACGCATCGATTCCCAGTCGCCCGTTGATCACCGACATGGGCTTGATAGCCCACCCCGCCCAGAAGCGCGCGGATTCACCGTCGTGGGCCTATCGCCGTCTATCGACGATGTATCGCCGATCCCAGGTGGGTGGTGGGAGCATCCTTCACTCCATTTTGGGCTCGAGAGGTCTGACCCGACCTTGTGTGTTGTGTTGCGAAGGTTGATGAGCCAGGACTTTGATTGCGCGTCTCTGCCATGGAGCCTGAGGATCGTCTAAGTGAAGAGGACGCCGATTTCACATGTTATATGTCCAAAGAGCTGCTGGAGTCGTTAAAAGATATGTTGAAGTCAGACGCTGCAATTGACGTCAACGTAGTGAAGGCGCTGTTCGATTTGGATGCAGTACAAGATGATGCCATGCTGGTACCAATTGGCATGAGCGTGCTTCAGGAGTATGTTAATGAGGATGACATGATCAAGGGACTTGGAGTTAAGGCGGCAGCTGAAGCAATGGTGGCAGCTTATGACGGCTTTCCTCACATTCAAGCTTTGAGAGGTATCCCAGAAGAGGCAATTCCTACGCCCATGCTGGCTAGAGAGTGGAGAGCAGTCTTGTCGCAGGGGGATGAGTGTGAGGATCTACCCAATGCCGAAGGGCAAGCGACAAATCAAAATCCTGATCCATCGGTCCGTGCGCCAATCTGCCCGCCCATACTTCCATCCATCCATTTTCCTTCGGCCGCCCAGAGAATCCTTCGACCGGTTCCGCGCGGGGCGGCGGGCCGGGTCCGCGCGGGGCGGCGGGAGGGGGGATGGTGCCTTCAGCGGGAGGCTGAGTGTGACGCATGCCGATGGAGCGAGAGTCTTGGGATAGGTTCTCCCTTGGCGCGAGCCCAGACCTCCTCGCGTTGTGGAAAAATCACGACGGGAGGTTTTACACAATTTTCGGCCCCTTGGGGCCCTCACGGGGCCTCGGGACCATCGAAAGACGACTCGGGATGAAAATCCGGTCACGGGGCAGGGTTCTGGGGGTCGACGCTGTGACGAAATCACAGCATCTGGGGGTCCTGGGAGGGATGCAGCCAAGGCGCGGGAACAAGGCACGCCTATAGGGCTCAGGAGGGGCTCTCTCTGCCCGGCCACTCTTCAGATCCAGAGGTTTTGTGGGGGCCTGCCGGTGTGGCGGAGAGGCGCGCCGTGGCCGGGAACGCCCCCCCCGTTCGTTCCTCGTTCGGGCGCTCCTTGCAGCAGCGCGCCGACGGCAGTCGAGAGCCCGGAGCATCCGCGGGAGGCGTGGTTCGGGAGCCTCGGGACGGGGGTCAATGCAAACGGGGGTCAGCCAGGGCGCCAGATCCTGCCCTCTCTGGCTGACCCGGGTTAGGGAGCCGCTCGTGGCCGCGAGGCGGCCGCGCGTATTGGCTGACCCGGGTTTGCGCAGACCTGCGTTGCAGTTTTTTCCTCCTGCATTGCAGTTTTTGGTTTCCTGCTGACCCGGGTATGGATCGTCCCGGGTCAGAAGATCCCCGAGTGGTGGCAGTGATGCTATCGAGGTTGGCAGGCGTCGGGGGCGTCGTCGTCGTCGTCCTCGTCGTCGGGGCGTCCTGGAGCGGTGCCACGCAGCCGTGCCGGAGGGCATGCGCCTGGGCGGGGGCAGGAGGCGTTGCTGCAGCGGCTGCAGAGCGGCGGAGGAGGCAGAGCTCGTCTCGATTCCTCCGATTCGATTCGATTTCGATGGCTTCCGATTCCGATTCGATTCGACTTCGGATTCCGACTTGGGCTCCGATTTTTCAATGGAGGCCTACCAAATTGCCGATTTCCGCCGATTCGACATTTTTCTCGATTCGGCTGCCGATTTCTGCCGATCCGATTGATTTCGATTGCCAATCCGACTCGTCGATACGATCATGGACTTTCCTGAGAAGGAGGGTGCGCGGTGGCGAGGAGGTGCAGGAGGGGTTCGAAGAAGAAAGAGCGGCATTAACATAAACTTTTGGCGCTACGCGCGGATTTCTTGGCTCCGCGCCGGTCCCCCTTGGCGGCGCCTCCCACGCCGCCCCTGGCGCGCTCCGCTCGCCGGGAGGTGGTCCAGCGCGGATCCAAGAAATCCGCGCGAAGCGCCAAAAGTTTATGTTTTGTTCGTCTTCGAGGGATGGCAGTGAGTTGGAGACGAAGGCGTCAGGAGAGCATACAGGGCGATGGGCAGCAAGGGGTAAGCAGCGCAGGCCAGCGAGAAGGCAGCGTGGCTGTGCACAGCAGCATTCAAGCTTGGTGGCATCGATGCGTGCACGCAGAGTGGAGGCAAACCATGGACGAGCAAAGGCTCCGAGAAGCAATTGCACAGGACCCCGCATATGCTTGCTTTCCCGCATGCTTGGCATTGTCGCCGTGGTGCTGGAGATAGTGAGAATGTATTGTAGCGCATGGTGTAATTGGAAGCACTTCCGTGCGACACGATTATTCATAACAGTTCGGGGTGCTGGTAGTGCTGGGGGCACGCAGGCCTTCAGACATTCGCACTCGTCTCCAGAATCGAGGTGCTCGTTGAGCAACAACCGCATCCCCTCCCCATGTACCCTCGCACCCACGTACAGTGGGGGCCCATGCCAAGAAACACCCTGCTCATCTCCAGAGTGCCCTGAGTTTCTTGGGTTTCGAGAGCTTTGCCTTGGAAAGCGTGACGTTCCCACCAACTATCGATGGACGTCCTGGGGTCTCAGGGTTGGGTTTTTTGTGAAATGTTTCTTGTGGACTGGCCTCCACTGTACCCACGCACCCACGTACCATTCGTCACGTCCCTCCCCCTGAGGACTCGCTGTATCGGCACCCCGGCTTTCACCTCTTCGGGCCTTCCCACGCTCTCTCTTTCTCCCAACCCTCCTTACGCTCTCCTGTATCGCCCTGGGGGAAGCGTGAGACTCGAGTTTGCCGGAA